TTCAGCATGCCTCAATGAAGTTTGGAGCGCATATTTGATGCATATGGAGTTAAAATGCACATCTGTAAATGCATTACTTCTTTACTAAAAGGAAATAAGTCTATAAACTACTGTTTACTGCAATGAGTGTGTTACAAGAAGTGATATGATTAAATACTCAAGTAAAAAAAACAGCTTTTTATCTCCCTTATATTTCCAGCCAGGATTTAATGAACTTGCAATATTGCTGAAAACACAGACCATTCAGTTCTGATATATAAACATTTTTTTTAAAGTAAATGTAAAAAGTTCTGAGATTTCAGTTTGTATGTGTTCTCTGCGTGTAAACTTGTAAACAAACATTTGTGACCGGTTCATAAGATCGGCTAGGGGTTTATTTCTGAACTATCATTAGCCAACTAAGATCGCAAGTTCCGTCATTACAAGCATAGTTTATTGATTTGGCATTTTCCAAATCCATCGTTTTAACGAACATCGTAAATTTAAGCACTCGCAACTTCAACTCTGTAGCTGTAGTTAGAAACAGTTCCTGGCTGTGTTCTATTTCCACTTATCCCCCCTATGCTCTATTCATTTAGAACATTCTAGCATTTAAACGTGGAATGACAAAAAAAAAGCTCATCTCTCTTAGGTGTAATTTGCTTTCAAACTATTTTCACAATTCAGTTTTAGCGATCCTCATGTTTACAATTGCGCTCCCTTCACAGTGCACTTTAAAAACATTGATGTTATTTTGAATAATGTATTATAGTGCATGTTTTTACCAAATCTAATATTGGATCTTATTTTAAATGCGTGTGCGTGTAAAACAATATCATTTGCACAAAGAAATGATGGGGTTCTTCTCTAAAGAAGTAGTTCCTCCACCCCTCATCATTATGGGTGTTTTAAGTTGTAGCTAACGTGGTTTAAGCCACAGGTGTCAAACTCAGTTCCTGGAGGGCCGCAGCTCTGCACAGTTTAGCTCCAGCTCTAATTAAACACACCTGATCAAACTAATTGATCCTTCAGGCTTGTTTGAAACCTTCAGGTAAGTGTGTTGGAGCAGGGTTGGAACTAAACTGTGCAGGGCTTCAGCCCTCCAGGAATTGAGTTTGACACCCCTGGTTTAAGCGATGGATCTGCCACAGAGACACTTCGGGTTTTGGGAAACACTCGTCACTACATCGTTCTTTTTCCAAACGATGCATCATACAATGATAGTTCAGCCACGAGTTACGAGCATCCTTAGTTTGTGTGTGTGTGTGTGTGTGTGTGTGTGTGTGTGTGTGTGTGTGTGTGTGTGTGTGTGTGTGTGTATGCATGTCTTATAATAAAAGTTTTTTACTGTATTAAATACATTACGCTTATGGGGAGTCCTCATAAACCACCAATAACAACCTCTATGAGTGTGTTAACACTACAACCGTCTCACTCAAATGCTGTCACAGATGTGCTGCAGCTGACGTGTGTGTGTGTGTCAGCTGACCTGTGTGTGTCCTGTGGTGGGCTTTCAGGTGTGAGCTCTTAGTGTATGTTTTCCCGCAGCCGGCGTAGTCACAGGTGTGTGTGGCGATCCGCTTCCTTGGCCAGGAGCGCCGGCCCCGCTTGGGTTTGGATTCTTCCGGCAACCCCTCGGCTGGGGAAATGAGCTCTGCCGAGAAAAAAAATGCATGTTAGCATTAGCATCACCAGATCTACCTTTCTACAAACCCCTGACCAAACACACACACAAAGCAGACAATGAAGTCTTTTCACATGACAAGTTTAACACTCATCAGCATCTTAAATCCTTGAACGTTTTAATGTTTTGATTTCTTTTAAAAAATGTATGAAGATTTATGTGTGTATTATATCATCTCTGCATCAAATTACAGCAAGCAAACTCCCGCTTGTGTGAGGTGTGTGTGTGTGTGTGTGTGTAACACCGTGTGTATGGGGGCAGAAGAGTGAATCGGACATTATTCTCTCTTCTGGCTGCCGTTTTCAGTCTCACACTGTTGTTTTCCTCTTGCTGAAAGTCTTGATGACACCATCCTGGAGTGTTTCTGTCATTATTTCAGCAAATAGGACTGCAGAATAATGATGTGCTGTACTCTCACATACACTGCGCTCTGAGTTAACACACTATGACCACTTCTGCTGCACAGGAGAAACGCATGTAAAAAGGCTCCTTGATGATCTTCTGATATTTTTTAACCTTTAATTCAACCAGAAAAGGCTCTCTGAGATGAATAATCTCTTTTACAGGAGTCCTCTTACCTATCTAAGACTGAGTTTACAGGACAAACTACACTTTGAGAACTTAAAGGGATCGTTCACCCAAAAATGAAAATGTCCTGTTAAATTACTCCCTCACAGGTCATCCAAGATGTAGCTGAATTTCTTTCTTCAGATTATTCAAAAACATTAAAGCAGATTTTGAGCTGGATTCATGGTCATTGGTGCTTCATATAATGGCAGTGAATGGTTGACCGGGGAATACCAAACAAGGGCAGAGAGGCGGAGCTAAGCATTGTGCTTAGACTGGCTTTCCTATAGGGTATATGCCGAGCTAGTGTTGTTCCCATGCTGATACACTTCCAGTGAGCTGTTATTGTGAACTTTTTTCCATTTTATACGGTTCCTTATACAGCATCGATGTTGTAATGTCATTAAAATACATTCAGTTAAATAAACTTTAGCATTTATTTGGTTGCTCAGGCGTAAAACGAGACAAAAAGCTGTTTACTCGCACGCGCCCATCAGAATCGGCAGGCTAACGCAGAAGCTCCATTGGATATACTGGGGTAAAAATAAATGCTCATATTATAAAGATATGGTGGGGGAAATGTTATTTAATGCAATGCTTCTTGTACAATCTGAGACTCACTTTAAATCGGATATCACTCAGCCAGTGGAGATCGCTGATTTATAAAGAAATCAGACTTTAAACGCACCGGATTTTGCATTGACATTCAATTCGCCGGAAGCGCTTAACCCAGGTTACTGGCATATTAAAAGTCCTATTAGCATGCTTCGGCATATTCCCCATTGGAGAAACACTGAATACTTCATTACCTGCGACTCGCTTGTGTTCTGACCACTTGTGCTTGGCTGTACACTATATCAATAAAGTGTTTAGTCTTTTAAAAACACTGCTGTAACACACTGAGCCACTAAACATTGCTCTTATGACGTTTTTCTACAGGAGGAAACACAAATTACGTCCAAACACTTCAGATATAGTGTGTGTTAGTAAATGCATTACTATTGATGAACTCCAGCAGAACACTGTATGATTACACTTCAGATGACTGATCTAGAGCCCACAGCTGATCAATCTGGCAGATTCTGAAGTGCATCACAGCTCTATAGAACATTATAAATGATCTAAAATAAAACAAATGCATTTATAGAGATGGTATATAAGGATATAATTTCACTCAGCTGGGAAACAGAGGTCATGTGAACGGTTTGAGAGCACAATTAAATGCACACAGCATGCCATATCATCTGATAACAGTAGGAGATAATTCCAGAAGGCATCTGACTGTGTGAAGAAACATTAAACAACAGAAATACGATGAATATGCCCAGTTCAGCAGCTAATCAGCCGGAATCAGCTGTGGTGACGGCGACCAGGAAGACCTAGCTGTCACTCAAGTGGCCACACCCTTAATTATGCAAACTTAATATAACTTAAACAAAACGGATGAGTTATAAAACAATTCACCACCTCACAGTTGTCATGGAGGGTAATATTCGCTGTATGAAGCGTTGTTTGTGCCAGTGTTAACACCTTGCTTTCGGCTGTAAAGTCGGCCAGCATCATTTTAACAGTGGGCTCAATAGAAATCTGCTCTATTATGGAGCCAGGACTAGTAGGCATACTAATATTACACACATATTTGTTTGAGCATGCTGTGGATTAAAGCTAATAATATTGTGAATTCTATTCAGTTTCTTTCACAGATCGATTATTTTGCTTCACCAGAGCTCAGTGTGTCATCAGGAGCTGTGGCTATTGATCAGGACTCATTTGTTTGTGTTTATTTTTTAAACCTGTCACCATTCCCTGCCATTAACTGAAGCACCAAACCACACTGATTCAGCTCAACATCTGCTTTACTGTTCGCCTCTGTACTGAATCTCTGATGACCTGTGGGTAAATTAACAGGACGTTTTCATTTCTGGGTGAACTATCCCTATAAAGGCTGCTGTGATCTGATCATCTGGCAGATTCAGAAAATTCAGACTCTTTTCTGCAGTGTGCAGAGCGGCCAACAAGAACTAATGGTATAGGATCAAAATCCTGCCAAATGTCTCGCAGTCGTGGATCAAAAAATAATAAGCGTAAATCCATAAATTTATTTTATATGTAAAATTATGACGTGTAAAAGCAAAATCTAAATAAGAAACCTAAGATAATGAGTGTAGGGTGGCACAGTGGCTCTGGGTCAGTTGGTGTTTCTGTGTGGAGTTTGCATGTTCTCCCTGTGTTGGCGTGGGTTTCCTCTGGGTGCTCCCCCCACAGTCCAAACACATGCACTATAGGGGAGTGATGAACTACATTGGCCGTAGTGTATGAGTGTGTTTGGGTGTTTCCCAGTACTGGGTTGCAGCTGGAAGGGCTGCGTAAAACATATGCTGGAATAGTTAGCAATTCATTCCACTGGTAACCCCTGATGAATAAGGGACTAAGCCGAAGGAAAATATATTAAGGAATAACTGGAAACTGCGAGCCATTGACATCCATAGTATGAAAAACAAATAGAAGTCAATGGCTACATTCTTCAAAACATCTTCTTTTGTGTTCAACAGAAGAAAGAAACTCAAACAGGTTTGGAACAAGTGAATGGTGAGGAAATGCTGAGAAAATGTTCATTTTTAGCTAAATCCGGAGTGTTCAGACCTGTTTCTGGAGGTCACTGCTGTCCTGCAGGGTTCAACCCTAATTAAACACACCTGAACCGGCTAATCCAGATCTGCAGACTCACTAGAAACTTGCAGACGAGCGTGTTTGGGCTGGTTGGAGATATAATCTGCAGGACATTGGCCCTCCAGAAAGATCATTGGACATCCTGGTTTGCGTTTGCAAATTTACTTGGAGAAAACGATCTTTGAAAGTTCATCTAAATGTAATCTTTAAAGTTAATTAATCTGTACAGCTGATGTGATCTACTGTTATTAGCCTTTTCTGAAATCAGTAAACAATGTTATTATTGAAATGACCGAATAAAATCATGACCAGGCTAATCCTGTTTCTGATGAAGAGTGAATATACAGTTAAAGTCAGAAATATTTGCCCCCTTTAAATTTTTTTTTCTTTTTTTAAATATTTCCTGAATTATGCTTAACAGAGCAAGGACATTTTCACAGTATGTCTCATTATATTTTTTTCCATTTTAGGGTCAATATTATTCGCCTCTTTAAGCTATATTTGTTTCTGATAGAACAAACCATCAATTATACAATAACTTGCCTAATTACCCTAACCTGCCTAGTTACCCTAATTACCCTAGTGAAGCCTTTAAATGTCACTTTAAGCTGTATAGAAGTGTCTTGAAGAATATCTAGTCTAATATTATTTACTGTCATCATGATGAAGAGGAAATAAATCAGTTATTAGAGATGAGTTATTAACACTATTATGATTAGAGATGTGCAGAAGAAATCTCTCCGTTAATGATTACAGTTATTAGTGATTACAATTATGACCAAAATAATCGTGATTATGATTTTTCCCATAATCGATCAGCCCCAGTTAATATATATATATATTAGTGCTGTCAAAATTAGTGCATTAACGCATGCGATTAATTTGAAATATTTAATGCAAAAAAAATCAACACAATTAACGCAGTTGCAGTTTTTTTTTTTTTTTTTACTTCCTTTTGTGGTGGACGTGTGTTCAACATGCAAAGAAATATGGATAAGACCAAGAAAGCACTTTTTGAAGGCAAGTTTTAGTATAAAATAATTTGTCGCATCACCAGGCTCTCCAGAGTTTCATGCAATTTCAGGTGTTTCGTTTTTAATCTTTCGACTTCTGTTTAAATGGTATTTGATACCGCATGGCGAACGGAAAGAAAAACCTCCGCATTTCGTGACTCGGTGGTCCTTTAAGGTAATCAAAAATCACTGTTTACATGGTCTTCTCTAAATAAAAGTATTATCTTAATCATATTAAAATCGGAGTATTGGTGTCCATGTAAATGAAGTGCCAGATGAAGTCGCGAGCTGTCAAAAGACCGCATTCCTCTGCCGTTTCAGCATGCGCCCTCCAATGTCAATGTTTCATTAAGTTTGAGGTGTTTCCCCCTTAAACGCAAGTGTCTGGTTTGCGTTGTTGTGTCAGAATCCTTGTGAAAAACAGCCATACTTTAGAATGCTTAGTTTACGCAAATTTGATGAACGCGATCATGCGTGTTGAATCTGAAGAGAGTCGCTCCGGCTGCGCTGTCCTGCACGCGATGTGTGTGTGAGTGTGTATGTCTGTGTGTTTGCGCATAAAATCAAAAAGTTACGAATTGCCGTGAGATTGCGTTGCACTCTCAGCTCACATCATTTAAAAGAAAAGGTCCACATTGTCCCCCGATAATGTCATCAGACTGGACTGTTTTAGCAACTGGCCGAATATAAAGAAGGACAACTCAACTCACAGCAATACAACTTTACAATGAGTGCAATTGTTTGTATTCAATACTTAATTGTTATTATAATTTTCCATTTTCCATATCTGCAATGCCGGTATTTCAGCTTTTTTAGAATCCAACTTGGAGATCAATGTTTTCTTTATTGGCATTGATTGTTTTGAAATTTGTTTTCAAATGGCTTTAACATGCTTGTGTTTCTGCAATAAATATGGCTGTCAAGCCAGGATTTTGATGGTTTATTGTGGGTTTGTTGTTTACATGAAGAAATCTGTGTTACAAGTTTAACAAAAATTTAATAAATAATTTTATTTTGAATTCAAATAGATTTTGTCTTGTGTTTACATTAATTTTACATTTGAATAGCCAAAATTACAAGTTTCAGTCTTTTAAATGTGATTAAATCGTGATTAATTTAAAAAAGTGTGATTAATAAATTTTTTTTTATGGATCGACAGCAGGGCCGGAGTGGGACTCCTTTTTAGCTCTGGAGTTTCAAGCCTTAGACCGGCCCACCTATATTAAAATAACGCTATTTCCAATTCAGTTTCTAATGACACTAACATGTCTTTTTCAAGGACACAGCTGCTTTAGAACTTCAAATGTTTTTCATAAATATTATATGTCTTAACACTGAAAATGAAAAAAATATATTATATTCTGGAGAGGTTCGAACTCGGATCGGCGGCGTCAAAACGTATCGTGCTAACCACTAGACCACGATGGCGCTATTAATCACTGCATTGTTATCTGCTGCTATTGACGTCTACTCTTTTATTTTTTTTTTATTTTTTTACCCTACTCTTTTTCTCCCTTTTTTAGATTTCTGATCAAGTTATGTCAGATTTATTAATGTAGTGAATCATCTGATTTTCATTGAGCAGGTGTAATATTCATTAATATTAATTAATATTCACTAAGGTGCCGCTGTTTGAGGTGGAATGGAGTGCAGCCCGCAGGTTAATGATGATCATCATTAACCTGCGGCCTGCATATAGCTCACGGGGCTGCGAGAAAATAAATAAAAAGAGCGGAGCTGTGGCAAAATAATGAATAAAAAGAGTGAGGCTATGGTCAAATAAACAAATAAATGAAAAAAGTGCAACTGCTGAGAGTGCAAGCAGCTAGGGACACCGGCCCTCGCGGCCAAAAAACAGACCGGCCCACAAGATTATTCTACATCATTATATGTGACATTACCACAAAAGTAATCCAGGTGTAATCAGATTACTTAACTGTAAACAAATGTGTAATGAACAATTTTATCATCCAATCTGTAGTCAGTAAGCAACATAATAATAGAAATGACTGAATGTATTCACCTTGGTACTGCAGTGACTGTGCCGGAGCCTGCGGAAATCCAGAATAAGCTGTATTTGGGTGATATCCGGAGCCGAGCCCCGGAGCCTGTGGATGCTCATCCGGAGACAGTGAAGATCTGGCGCCCCGTCCTGAACTAAACGCGTGAGGGTCCAACATCGAGCCCTGATGCACTCCAGACTGTGCCGAGCTCCCTCTGAGATGCAGATCCATGGGCCGGCTGGCCGTACATGTGCTCGGACACTCCTGCTTTATTCTAGGACATGCAAACGGGACCGCGGAAGCATCCTTGCTAATGCTAACCCCCTGGTTGTAATCAGACATGTCCATAGTGGTCTTGACTACAAATTTCCCGTGGAGGCTTGTAGGTTGGAGATACGCAGGATCCAATTCCGGCCTCATTAATTCAGCCACGAAACCTCCTGATGGAGAAACGTCGCTGATATCTGGGATGGTGTACAGCATGCTGCCCTCCTGGCCCTGAGGAGAGGGCATGGGGAAGGTGTAGTGTGTAGGGGACGATGCTGGGATAGTCCTGGAAGTGCTGGCCTGCTGCTGTTGTTGCTGTTGAAGCAAGCTGTTCGACAGAATAAAGTCATAGTCCAGCAGCTCCAGCTCCTCCGGCTCAATCTTGGCCATGACTGGCGGGACGTCCTGGTCAGCGCAGGTCGCACCTGTAGACATGCAGGGGCGTTTCAGGTGAGACATCTCCTCCTTCCATCTCTTATTGCAAACACACAGACACATGCAGGAGAAGGGAACAAGACAAGGTCAGGGTTAAACACGTGTTCAATAATGGCACGCTTATTTGTGCATGCTGCCTCACTGTCTGATCAGGCCAGTATTAAAGGATGCACGCTAATAATCGACAAGGTAAGACTCCAAAAAAATTATTAACAAAATAAAAGATGCTTATCTAAAGGTGTTTATCAAATTAAATTAATTGTGCATTCTAACAATCAACAAAATTATTCATTCATTCATTCATTTTCTTGTTGGCTTAGTCCCTTTATTAATCCGGGGTCGCTACAGCGGAATGAACCGCCAACTTATCCAGCAAGTTTTTACGTAGCGGATGCCGTTCCAGCCGCAACCCATCTTTGGGAAACATCCACACACACATTCACACACACACTCATACACTACGGACAATTTAGCCTACCCAATTCACCTGTACCGCATGTGTTTGGACTGTGGGGGAAACCGGAGCACCCGGAGGAAACCCACGCAAAGGCAGGGAGAACATGCAAACTCCACACAGAAACACCAACTGAGCCGAAGTTCGAACCAGCGACCCATTGACCTTCTTGCTGTGAGGCGACAGCACTACCTACTGCGCCACTGCCTCGCCTTTCAACAAAATTAAGGCTCCAAAAATCTAATTTAAAGATGCTTTTGAGGTAATTATTGAACAAAACAATGCTCAATTTGTAATCAGGTGTCTTGATTGTTAATCAAGGTAATTCTCAAAATAAAGGACTTTTATTTGTGCATGCTACTGTTTGACATAGTAAGTCTCAAACTAATCGAATTAAAGGACCTTAATGAGATCATAATCAAATTGAAGCACGCTTATTTGCTGATCTACAAAGGTAAGTCTCTCTTTATTATTTTTTTTATCAAATTAAATTATTAGTGCATGCTAATAATCGACTAAATTAAGTCTCAAACAATGTAAAGGACTCTTATGAGATGATCATTGAATAATTTAATTAAACTATGCTTATTTGTGCATGCAAACAATCAATTACCTTAATTTGTTAATCAATTATCCAAAACAATTATAAATTTAAAGGACTCTTATTTGTGCATGCTACTATTAGACAGTTTTGCTGCTGTCACACTGCGGTCGATTAAACTCGATTGGACTTACGCAGTCAAGTGATGTGATTTCGCAGGTCAGAGTTCACCAAGCCTGAACTTTGCAATGCAGCGAACTGCGAAACTTGACTCATGACCTTGCGTTTCCGGTCTGACGCATTCGCATGTGTATGAATGGAAGTCTATGGGGACAAAAGTCCAGTGTGACCGCAGCTAAACTCTCAAGCAAATCTAATTAAAGGACCCTTATGAGATCATAATCAAATTAAAGCAGGCTTATTTGCAAATCTACAAAGGTAAGTCTCTTTTTTTATCAAATTAAATATTAGTGCATGCTAATAATCGACTAAATTAAGTCTCAAAAAAATGTAAAGGACGCTTATAAGATAAACATTGAATTATTTAATTAAACTATGCTTATTTGTGCATGCAAATAATCAATTACCTTGATTGTTAATCAATTCTCAAAAAACGATGATCAAATTAAAGGACTCTTATTTGTGCATGCTACTATTAGACAAAGTAAAGCTGCAGTCACGGTAGAGTTTGAGCTTGTGAAATTCTGTCGTGCGGAGCTGTGAAAAGGGGCGGAATTAAACAAGATGATTAGACATTTAAATAAGCGAGCGATTGCTCCATGTTTTACATTTCTGTCCAGAGAGGTCATGTTTTGATCCTTAGTTTGTCTCACGCAGTCAAGTGGTGCGATTTCACAGGTCAGAGTTCACCAAGCTTGAACTTTGCAACGCAGCAACCTGCAAAACTTGTCGCACAACCTTGCGTTTTCGGTCTGACATATTTGCGTGTGTATAAATGGAAGTTTATAGGGAGAAAAGTCCAGTGTGACCGCAGCTTAACTCTCAAGCAAATCTAATTAAAGGACCCGAATGAGATCATAATCAAATTAAAGCAGGCTTATTTGTGCATTATAATCGACAAGGCAAGTATAAACAAAATTATTAGCGAAATAGATGATGCTTATTTGTGCATGCTAACAATCAAGGCAAGTCTCACTTTTGTTTTAAGTAAATGTAATCATTTGTGCGTGCTTATAATCGACAAGGTCATTCTCAAAAAGATCAATATCGAATTAAAGGACGATAATTCTTGCATGCTGCATAGGAAAAACAGCCTGGTATGTCAAGACCAACATGCTGATATGATGTGATTTAAATAGCATCTGTTTTTTATTCTTTACAGTAAACACTGTAGTGTTTTTATGCCATAATATAGTAAAGTACTTGAATCGATCTGTTGTGGTGATTCTATAGTTGCTGTGGTAAAGCAACAACCAGTGGTGTCAAGTGACAAATCACAAATACTCAACTGACTGTAATGGAGTAGTTTTTCTCAGGAATTGTACTTTAATAAGTAGCTTTAAAAATGAGTAAATGAGTATCTGAGTCTGAGTATTTATGAAGTCACTACCTTCTTTTTTTCTTGTCTGTGGTGATTGGCTAAAGTAGAATAATTAGACCTGTGACTTCCATCCAAATCAAATCGCACATAGAAAAATTGCATCATACTGAACAACCTCAAGTTACTTCAGAATTACTAATTGCATAATTAAAAATGTATTTAAATGACTTTATTATTTATCAAGTTAAATATGTGTTAAAACATGACACTTTTCTAAGTAATGTCCGCATATGTCATTTAGACGACTTATTTTCATTAATTTCATTAACAGTTTGTTTGACTGTTAAAGGCACCCAGCCACACACAACATCATCAGACGTTAATATTAGGCTAGATTTAGATCACCAGCATGTAACGATGTAAAATGACGTTGATGTTTGGTTGATTTTAAGTTGTGTTGGAAAGTAACCAATATGCAATGTCTGTCCAACTTTGTACATAGACGTCGGCCTTCTGAAACGTTGGTTTCTGACGTCAACTCTATTTTCATTTCCAAAAAAAACTGCAACATCCCACGACATTGGGGTACAACGTCAATCTGACGTCATGTTTTCATCCTGTTCCTGCTGAGGGATAGTTTACCCAAAAAATAGAAATGTGCTTTTTATGTACTCTCCCTCAAGTAGTTACAAACCTTTTAGAATTTTTTTTTTATTCTGTTGAACACAAATAAAGATATTTTGAAAAATGCTGAAAACCAGTAACCATTGAATTCTATAGAATTTGTTTTTCTTATAGTAGTCATAGTTACCGAAAAAATGTTTTAACAGAATAATGCAAAAAAAAAGAGAGAGAGAGAGAGAGATGTTGACGAACTAAAAACCACTTACCATTGACTTCGAAAGTAGGAAAAACTAATACTGTGGAAGTCAATGGTTACAGGTTTTCAGCATGCTTCAAAATATCTTTTGGTGTGTGTTTTGATGAAAGAAACTCATATAGGTTTGAGGGAGAGTAAATAGTGATTAAATTGTCATGTTTGGTTGAACCATCCCTTTGAATATCCTGCACTATATGAAGATAAGTGTCCAAACATAAAGATAAACCAGTCTTATTTTGTATATTATACTGTTTTCTTCATTTTTGCTGTCACACCATGGGACGTTTTTAAAGGTACAGTTCACCCTAAACATTTAAATACTCACTATACACTCTCCCTCAAGTGGTTACAAACCTTTATAAGCTTTTTTCATCCGTTAAAAAAAAAAAGAAAAAAAGATATTTTGAAAAATGCTGAAAACCAGTAACCATTGACTTTCATAGAATTGTTTTTTTCCTACTGTAGTCGTCAATGGTTACTGAAAAATCTTCTTTTGTGTTTAACAAAATAAAAAAGCAAGATATGTTGAAGAAAATTAAAAACCACTAACCATTGACTTCTGAAGTAGGAAAAACCAATACTATGGAAGTCAATGGTTACAGGTTTTCAGCATTCTTCAAAATATATTTTTTGTGTGTGTTTAGATGAAAGAAACTCATATAGGTTTGAGGGAGAGTAAATAGTGAGTAAATTGTCATTTTTGGGTGAACTCTCCCTTTAAATATCCTGCACTATATGAAGATAAGTGTCCAAACATAAAGATAAACTGCAGACATTTTGTATATTATACAGTTTTCTTCATTTTCGCTGTCACACAATAGGATGCTTTTTAAAGAATAGTTTATCCTAAAAATTTTAATTCTAACTATACCCTACAAAAAAAAGATATTTTTGAAAAAATGGTGGAAAACCAGTAAACCATTGACTTCTATAGAATTAGTTTTTCCCTACTATAGTAGTCAATGGTTACTGATAAAAAAAAAAAAAAAAAAAACGTCTTTTGTGTTTAATAGAATAAAAAAAAAACAAGATATGTTGAAGAACTAAAAACCACTTACTATTGACTTCTGAAGTAGGTAAAAAAAAAACAATACTATGGAAGCCAATGGTTACAGGTTTTCAGCATTCTTCAAAATATCTGTTTTTTTGTGTGTGTTCAGATGAAAGATACTCATATAGGTTTGAGGGAGAGTAAATAGTGAGTAAATTGTCATTTTTGGGTGAACTATCTCTTTAAATATCCTGCACTATATGAAGATAAGTGTCCAAAGTTTCTCAGAATGTCTAGCATACATCATCATGAACTAATTTCTCATGTTTCCTCAAGCTCTGCTTTTCTGGAATGATTTACACAGAACAGACAGGGCTGAACTGCTTTATGTTCAATCTACTTAAATAACTTGCGTTAACTTAATGTATTTGTATTGGGGACGACATGAATGAATTGTGTGCAAACCCTGCCTTTTTACTGTATATTTAAGACTATATATATATAGATATATATATATATATATATATATATATATATATATATATATATATATATATATACACATATATAGAGATAACTGTAGTCATTCGGGTATATTATTAGTATAGTTGTCAATGTTATTAATGTAACTAGTCACTGTAATTAAATTACTCTTATGCTATTACAGTTGCTTATATATATATATATATATATATATATATATATATATATATATATATATATATATATATATATATATATATATATATATATATATATATATATATATATATATATATATATGTGTGTATGTGTATTAATATATATTTATATAAATATATAAATAAATTTATAAATATTTAAATATATATATATATAAATAAATAAATATATATATATATATATATATATATATATATATATATATATATATATATATATATATATATATATATATATACATATACATACATACACA